TATGTTGTGTGTATCTTCACCTTTGGGAGGTCCTGTGATTTGTACTTCTATATATGTTGCTTGTGAACTCCAACTTGGGGATATCCGGGTGTATGCCAATCTGTTACCTCTTGATATGGCCTATTTTGATATTATTCTGGGAATGGACTGGTTAGGTGAATATGGTGCAACTATAGATTGTTTGACTAACCAAATCAGTTTCTACCCTCCAGGACAATCAGAGTCTACTTTTCAGGGACATGGAGTGACTCCTCCACCTTATTTAATTTTCGCAACAAGGGCTTGTAAATTAATTCAGAAAGGGTGTCAAGGGTACTTATGCAGTGTTCTAGAGGAGCAAGTGGTGAGTGGGAATACCGACATGATCCCAGTTGTTTGTGAATTTTCGGACGTCTTTCCAGAAGAATTACCAGGACAGTTAATAGACCGTGAAATTGAGTTTACAATTGAAGTAGCACCGGGAATTCAGCCCATTTCTAAGACTCCGTATAGAATGTCGCCAGTTGAGATGAAAGAATTGAAAATGCAGTTGCAAGATTTATTGGACAAAGGATTTATTCGTCCGAGTGTATCTCCGTGGGGGGCACCAGTTTTGTTCGTAAAGAAGAAGGATGGGACACTCCGGCTTTGTATTGATTACAGAGAGCTTAACAAGGTCACAATCAAGAATAAGTATCCATTGCCAAGCTTCGAGGGGCACAGGTCTTTTCTAAGATTGATCTACGGTCTGGATACCACCAATTAAAAGTCAAGGCTGACGATGTTGAGAAGACAGTCTTTCAAACCCGGTACGGTCATTATGAATTTTTGGTCATGCCCTTTGGAGTTACTAATGCCCCAGCAGCCTTTATGGATTTGATGAACCGCGTTTTTAAGTCCTATCTGGATGAATTTGTGGTGGTCTTTATTGATGATATCCTCATTTATTCAAAGAATACGGAAGCTCATGAGACACATCTTCGCTTAATTCTTCAAACCCTCCGGGAAAAGAAATTGTATGCAAAGCTAAAGAAATGTGAATTTTGGCTACTCGAGGTGGCATTTATGGGACATATTATCACAAAGGAAGAAGTTTCTGTTGATCCACACAAGATTGAGGCGATTGTGAAATGGCCGACTCCTACCAATGTGACTGAAGTGCGTAGCTTTATGGGGTTAGCTGGTTATTACAGGAGATTCGTTCAAGATTTTTCTAAGATTGCTGGGCCACTTACACAATTGACTCGAAAGGGAGTTGCATTCGAATGGTCAAAAGAGCGGGAATCTACTTTCCAGGAATTAAAATGAAATTAACCACAGCTCCAGTTTTGGCTTTACCGTCTGGCACTGAAGGGTTTGTAATTTACAGTGATGCATCCCATAAAGGATTAGGGTATGTGCTTATGCAAGGTGGTAGGGTTATCGCCTATGCTTCACGACAGCTTAAACCCCATGAAAAGAATTATCCCGCGCATGATCTTGAACTCGCGGCGGTGGTTTTTGCTTTAAAGATATGGCGGCACTATTTGTATGGTACTACCTGCGAAGTTTACACCGACCACAAAAGCCTTAAGTACCTTTTTACCCAGAAGGAATTGAACATGCGGCAGCGTCGGTGGTTAGAGTTAATTAAAGACTATGATTTACAGATCCATTATCATCCTGGTAAGGCCAACACGGTTGCAGATGCTCTTAGTCGGAAAAATATGGGAGATTTGGCCAACCTGTTTACGGAGCAAAGGGAATTGGTAAATGAATTGGATAAAATGAGGGTGGAATTCAAGATACCAGGACAAGAAACAGTACTGGCAGCAGTAATGGCTCAACCGACTTTGCTTGAAGATATTAAGTCACATTAAATGGAGGATGACGTTCTAAAGAAGGTATGTGATGAATTGGAGACCAAGCCACAATCGGGGTTCAGTTTAATGGATTCGGTTCTCAAATTTCAAGACCGAGTATGTGTTCCCAATGTGTTGGAACTTAAACGGAAATTGATGGAAGAAGCACACGCCTCAAGATTTTCCATGCATCCGGGAAGTACTAAAATGTATCAGGATTTGAAACAAAATTTTTGGTGGCCAAATATGAAAAAGGAGATTGCAGACTTCGTCTCTAAGTGCTTGCAGTGTCAGCAAGTGAAAGCGGAGCATCAAAGACCAGCGGGATTATTACAACCCCTTCCAATCCCGGAATGGAAGTGGGAGCATTTAACCATGGATTTCGTAGTGGGATTACCACGGACACCTCGGGGTATGAATTCTATATGGGTCATTGTCGACCGATTAACTAAGTCTGCTCACTTTCTGCCAGTGAAGACTCAGTACAATGCAGATAAACTGGCGGTCCTTTATGTGAATGAAATTGTAAGACTGCATGGTGTACCAGTCTCAATTGTATCGGATAGGGATCCAAAGTTCGTTTCCAGATTTTGGCAAAGTTTACAAGAAGCCATGGGTACAGAATTAAAATTCAGCACAGCTTTCCATCCTCAGACTGATGGTCAATCCGAGAGAACAATACAAACTCTGGAAGATATGCTCCGGATGTGTGTGCTAGAGTTTCAAGAAAGTTGGGAAGCCCATTTACCACTGGTAGAGTTCGCATATAACAATAGTTACCACTCAAGTATTGCAATGGCACCCTATGAAGCTTTGTATGGAAGACCGTGTCGTTCTCCCGTATGTTGGGCTGAAGTTGGAGATAAATCCTTCCTAGGGCCTGAAATTGTTCAGTTGACAACTGAAAAAGTCAAAGTTATTCGGGAAAGATTAAAAACAGCTCAAAGTAGACAAAAGAGTTATGCGGATAACCGACGGAGAGATTTGAAATTTGATGTGGACAGTCACGTTTTTATAAAAGTTACTCCGATGAAAGGCCATCCAAGATTCGGAAAAAGGGGTAAGTTAACGCCCCGCTACGTTGGTCCCTTTCAACCTACTCCTTTGTGTATAAATAGAGACGGGAGGGAGAGGATATAGATATCAGATGTGGAGCTGAGAGGTGTGAGTTGAGAGCAAAGAGAGAGAGAATTACAGAGAGTGTTGTAATTCACCATTTTGTTCAATATAGTGAATCCGCTGCCCGTGGACGTAGGCGACTTGCCGAACCACGTTAAAACTTGTGTGTTATTGCTTGTTTGAGTTCCCTGGTGTGCCCCCGATCCTCAACACTTGCATCATCTTGTTCTTGTGCAGCAGAACTTGCAGCAGAACTGTAATCTTTATCAACTTTGATAATTCAGACCATACTTCATAATAAAAGTTATCCATACAAACAAAAAAAAAAAAAAAAAAAGAAGAAGAGATATATCAAACAACTATAAATACAAACAAATCACATTTTGTCTTGCAAAATGAATGATTTAAGTTTAAAATCATATTTGCTATTCATTTTATAAAATAAAATGTGATTTGTTCTTATGTTTATAAATGTCCGATAAAATTGATTTTTTTTACATAAATGACCTTTATTCTGGAACCGACAAAATAGAGGATACGGATTGTCGATGTAACTCTGAATTTAAATCCACAAGAAGAGGATGAATAAATATAAAAAAATATAAATATGGAGAAAAGCTTATCCCGATAATATGAGTACTCTTGAATCATCATGATCGATCAATCTTGCATGTTGTTTCTCTATCCATTCAATTTGTAGTCTGGTTTATAAATGAGACAGTGAAAAGGCACAACCCCATCATTTTTTGATGGTGTCATGGCATTAATTACAAAACGATTTATGGCTTTTCTGTCGTTGTTTTTTTTTTTTTTTTTTTTTTTTTTTTTTTTTTTTTGGTATGGTTTGTGTTGCTTTCATGCAAAAATAATTTATTTGAATTTTCTCCAGCTAATACGTTGGGTCTATTGAGATTGAGAATTTACGTAGTTTGACACAAATCTGTCTATGTCTGAGTACGTGAGAAATTCACTATATGTAATAGACAGCACAGCTATGAGACTAAAAAATCTCAGAACTCAACACTAATATCGAAATCACAAAATAATTTTTGATAATTTAAATCATTCATTTTGTAAAGTGTGCTGAGCATTATAACGTATAAAAGTTTTAAAGATGAAACTTTTGTTGTCTCCAAAAACATAAGTTTTGTTACAAAAAATATTTGAGAACCAATTTCTATCATTGCGAAGTTAGTGGCAAAAATATTGTCCCCAAGAAAAAAAGAAAAAGAAAAACTTTTAGCAATAAAATTTAAAAAATGCCGTTAATAAATGCACTTGTAGGAAAAAATTAATTTATTCAAAAAAGATTTATTTTTTTAGACAAAATTTGATCCCAAAAAGATAATAATTCATCATTAAATGTTTAATTTTGTTGCTAAAAATATAATAAAGAAGATTGTAATCAAATCTGTTTCATCACTACAAGAATTAACACTTTTGCCGACCAAAAAATTAGTCGCTAAAAGCCTATTTTTGGTCGGCAAAAGTAATCCGCGACCAATTTTTTTGGTCGCTACTTTGGTCGCCAATTGAGGGTCGGCAAAAGTAATTCGCGACCAAAATTTTGGTTGGTCGCGAATAGTCGGATTTGCCGACTAAATTTTTGGTCGCTAAATATATCATTACCGCGACTAATTAATTTAGTCGCTAAAACACTTTGGTCGCGAAAAGTGATATTCTCCCGACCAAATGTCTTAGTCGCCAATTGACACATTTCGCGACCAAAAAGTTTGGTCGCCAATTATGACATTTCACGACCAAAAAATTTGGTCGCCAATAGTCAACGAATCGCCGACTAACAATTTAGTCGCCAAAAGGTAAGGAATTGCCGACCAATAATTTTAGTCGCAAAAGTATAGAATTTGCCGACCAATTTTGTAGTCGCCAAATCTCTATTTTTTTTTTTTTTTTAGAACATTCAATTTTTGTTTTTAAACATTCAATCCAATATCGAACAAAATTCATTCAACCCAACCACAATTAAGGAACAATAACATGTAAAAAATTAAAAATTGCTCATAGTTTCGGTACCACAATTGAAGAACAAAATTCATGACACACAACCAAAGAATTTAACTAAGAAGAAAACTTGAGAATTTAACTTGTATACAATAGCAATAGTACGTACAATATGTGATTTGGCAAAAACAATCACTAAAAATTCAATCTCAAACTACACTTTGCTCTCACCAAAAATTATAAGAACAAAGAAATCAAAGAAAATAACAAGGTATGAGACTATTGGAACAGTTCTTCAACTCTTTCTGTAGTACACTCATACCACAATGACATCCTATTGCAATTTCATCCAATCTGAACGGGCATACTTAGGATTCAAGCCCAACAACCTGCAGTCTTCATCACTTATACCCTTCAGGACATTTAAAACCTGTAAAAATGTCATATAATGCTCCCCTTGTAAGTCTTGATCAGCTAGAAATTGACAAGAACAAAACATACACGCACAGAATTTGGGACAGAAAATGCATTCTGTTAGTTACCCAAGCAACACACTTCTTCCCCCAGCACCTTACCACAAAGTAGGCTAAGAGAAATATTTTACCAGTCAGCGGTTATGATTCTTTTATTCAGTTGCATGAAGATCCTCCTTACAGAATGCTCCACTTCATAGATAATATATAATACCAACTGTCATGGACATAAGAAGAAGAATAAGAAGAATAAGGTGCTGATAGAAGTCTAAGCGCATTCTTGTGACTATTAAGGAAGGGAGGCGGCAACAGATTCAAATAACCAGAAAGCATCTGATCCTTTCAAGTGGGCTCAATGTTTCATAAATCAAAACAAATTGGCTCACAGGAAGTTCACAAATTGACATCAATAAAATTGTAGTTGTCGTCTTTTGGCAATTAAGATTTGATAAAATAAAAAATAATAATAATAATATTAATACAAATTAGCTATCCATTTCTGATTGGGCATTATTACTTCGTAACAAACAGCATTAATCTGGGATTACAATTATGTTCGGAGTTGGATTCCATACCATACCCTTTACTTCTTTCCTACTCTTCTCCGAGTAAATACAAGAGCTTCACAGACAATACCCCTTATTATTAACAGAGTGCAATCATAGAACTAACTATAGGATCCGGAAGAACTTACATAGAAAGGAATATAAGTTTGTCTGCCATTAACAAGCCCACTTGTGTAGCCTGTGTACCCGGCCATAGCTCCATGAACAGCACTCTGAGCAATGAGTGTACAATACACATTGTCAGCTGCATTGCTTGGAATAGCCCGGATCATGTATGTAGGATTTGTCAGAAAAATTGATCAGGTCCAAATCTTGTTATTTCCCTTCGCAGCACTCTGTTTGATAATTTCTCCAAGTTCAGTTCAAGAAGAAACATAAGACAAACAAGAACGGGAAGTGAGAGGTTACTGA